TGAGCAGAGGCATCTAAATGTTTAGATAACATCAGACTCTATCTTGAATTTTTGCTCAGCTTGAATGGTTTCCCAGAGTAAAAGGTAAAAAGAGGACCTTGCTCCAACTCCATCTGGAATTGCTGCTCTACCCGGTAAAGCCAAGTGACGGTGTGGTACTCGCTGTGGAGTTACTGATTTTGCACTAGTCTAAAGAGCTGACAAGTCATAAAGCATTAAAGTTGTATCTCCACTTGGCTAGTCTGATTTTTCATCTGGGTGGGAGGACTGGCAAATACATACATATCTTCCAGCTTTCCCTTGCTTTCCAATACTGAGTCTGTAATTCTTCTTCCAAAAAGGGAACCTGTCAGCAGCAAGTAGCTAGTAGCCATTGTGCTGTGCTTGAAACCTTCTGTCTATGAAGTCTGTATCCTGATGATACTCCCTTAATCGCTTCTTGCAGCAAGTTTGTGTGTTTGTCTTTGGAAGCTGTGTTGCTCCTTGATTAATTGATGGACATTTAGACCAGCACTCTTCCTACTATCACACAGCTTATGATGGAAATTCTCAAAGAACCTTGCTTTAACCTCCCAGACGCTTAGCACTTCTTCATGGGGTTTATATCCATGTAGAAATGAATTTGCCAAGACAAATGAATGCAGTTATTGACTGGAGCAGCCGTTACCTGCCGCTATTGAACAGTTAGGAGAGGGTTAAGAAGAAAACCTCTTCTGAGCCACTAGATTGGCCCTGACTAAGATGAATGTCTAATTCACTCCCAGCGTCCTTACTGCTGCCAGTAATAAAAAGCTTGCTTCACATATTCACCCCACTGCAGACGTTTCTCTTAAATTAAATATCAAGAGGACATATACTAGCACGATTCCACGCCAAGCCAATATTATCAGATTGATGTCAGCAGTGATAATAGAAGAAGGATAAGTTGATGAGATTTCATTTATTAAATAAAGTAAAGGGAATACGCAGTGATAGAGAGGATTTGGTAACTCTCGGTGTGTCAAAATGCAGCAAGATCATGCTCATTCTGTCTTACCTCAAGGGATAGCAGAGAGAAGGATGCCCTTTGTTTCACTTTAAGAAAACCTCTCCCTTCTTTTCCAGACAAAGACCTGATTTAGATCCCTCTGTGGGAGGGGGAGAGGAAGATCTGAAATCATGGTTTTCATGTGTATGTAGCCTTCCTTCCCATTGAACAGCGGTGAGGCAAAGGTTTCTTTCCCCACTATGATGGGGGAGGCACTGCTAATGAGTTTTATTTCTAGATTCATCCTTTCCTTTATCCCACCTGCCATCTTTTCTCCTTTCCTCTTCCTTTAAACGGATGCGAGTGTGTGTTATTGGTTTAATCTTTCATATTCTCTATGTCCTGCATTTATTTCCGAGGTATTGTCAGAGCTCATCTCCCATACTTTCCTGTCCACAGGTATTGTCCCAGCCCCTCCCTGCCCAGCCTTTCTCTCTTGCCTTTTCCCTAGCTGCTAGAAATGAGCCTCTTACATCTGTTTTGATAATAGCAGTAGCAATCACAACGTGTTTTATTTTAGACAGAGGCTAATTGAATACCTTATTTGGTGGTGGCATATTATGCTTAAAACTGTAACCCATTTTAGAAGAAAGGTCAAAGCATACTAGCCTTCTGCTCTTTGTATTCAAACCTCATCCCTGCTCCAACATGTTCCTTCCCCCTTGTTGTTTAAGAAATAATAAAAGCCCTCAAACAATGAGACGTTTACCAAGAGCAGTGGAGTGGAGTGTCCAGAAGATCAATTTCTCTAAAGGTTAGTTAGTGCCAACAGCCTTGAGCTGGGCTGAGGTTGAAGGGAGATAGTTGACAAAGGTCCGCCTCCTTTGGAAGTCAATGTGCCATTGCTCTCGACAGAGATGTTTGCAGTTAGACGCCACTAATCTGCACCAGGTTTTTCGCGTTTAATTTCTTTTCCTTTCAGATATGTACGAGTAAAGCCAGAGAACTGTAAGGTACAACTAATGTATAGGTCTGTAGTTCCCAGTTGTGTGGAAATGTTGCAACCTGAAGTTAGGAGACTTAATGTGAGCAGGAGAGTGGCTTCGCTTTGAGTCAGGTAGGACAGGAGTAGTGATTGCTGTGCTGGGAGGAAAGCTCCTCAAGCAGTTGTTCACCAAAGCAGTTCAGATACCCCTTTTCAGTCCAGATGGGTACCAGAACTAGTCTGCTGGACGTGGGTGACTTGTGTATTCCTGGACTCTGCAGGATATGCTTCCTTTTGGTGAGCTCGCATTTACTTCTTGTCCCTTCGTTTCGTAGATCACAGTACATGTGGGGCACAGTGACAGTGATCTCCCGAGCAGCGCTAGCTGCCTGCTCCAAAGTGAAACGTCATTCTCAGTGGGATTTAACTGGTTCTGTTGAATTTCCAGTTCACTTGTGAATGCACCAATATATTGGTTTGGGTAATTTGTATTGATAATTCCCTTAACCAACTTTGTGTTATGTTGATTAGTTTCTCTAAATCTGTTTTGAGAAGCTGGTGCAATTGATGCATAATCACAGTTTGAGGTTTTATTTTGAAGAAATAAAGGAGAATATTCTTGTTGTGATTCTGGGTACCTGGTACCCAAATGCTCTCTGTATTGTGGGAAGTGGCATGTATGAATACTGATTTAGGTACTCACTGGGCAGTGCATGCCATTCTCTGCTGATTGATCCCTTGCCTTTGGTAGGCTTTAGGCAGCAACGCTCACTCTGTGGATTCTCGCTCACCACTGTGTGGCTTTTGAATAGCCCTCTGCCCTGTGGGCTGAGCACCTTTCCTAAAGAAGAGGGCCACGGGCTTTGCACTACTGTCTGAGCCCACAGGTGGGTCCTAGCTTTATATTTACTCTAGGCAATGAAGACTGATGCCATAGGAGGGACAGTGAAGGAAAAGACAAAAAAGAAAAAATAAAAAAAAAGTACAATTCCTATAGCTCTCCATGCCAACAATAGCAACCTCAAGCATTCTTCTAAATACTTCTCTCAGATCTTTCTACCAAATTGTTCAGTTCAGGTGAATACAGATTTTTTTTTTTGTGGCATGCTGTACCTTTTTGCTTTTCCAGCTCTCTGCATGAAAATTACAAAATGCCCGTCAGTTTAACATGGCTAGGCTTAAAAAAACCTAATTTTAAAAGTCTTAACTTTTTCAATGAATTGAGGGATTTGGTGGTATTTCCTGACCTGGTATTGTTTGGTATCGTTTCCACAGTCTTGCTGATTTGATTAGAGTGATATTAAAGTTAGTGACAAAGCAAAATGCCAACATTATGAGTTTCTGAAGCTCTCCCTGGGTTCTTTTCTATTCCAAAATTTGAAGTTGTTTGGTTTTTTGGTTTTTTTTTTTTGTTTTGTTTTGTTTTTTTTGAATATGGATTTTTAGAGGCTTTAAAGGTGATTTGCTATAGAACATAGAAATTAGAAATGCACACTAGCCTCTAGGGACTGTGCATGGAATAAGTCTCTTCTAAAAGCTGTAAAATTAGTGAAGAGGTGGAAAAAGAAGTCTCTATAGTATCTTTGGTGGTTTCTGATCCAAACCTCAGTGTTTTAGAGTGTGGCTGTCATACTGTTACTGATAAATTCTTAGTCTGTCCATGTATGTTGGCAATAGGACTGAGGACTGAAGAAGTATCATTTGGAGTATGTCTCAACCGAACTATTTTGTGGGAGCAACCAGGTTGCTTATATGGAAAAGACAGAATTTTCTTTTTCTTCTTCTTTTGGCCCTTCCACTTGCTTTCCTGAGCACCTTACAAAAACAAGCATGATTTGGAAACTCATATCTGAGCTCTCCAAAAGCTTTTAGAAGATCTTGGTTTAAGATTTCATGCTTCTTAGAAATCTGTTCCACCTGAGAGAATAAGATATGCCCAGGATCGGGTCATGTTTTCTTCCTGCCTGGTTATTGAAGCCCTTGCTGAATGACTGCCTGTTGTTGTTATGTGGAAATTAATACATCATAGCATGGCATTAATGCCTGCCTGTAGCATCAAGTACTTTGGAAGGAAGAGGTATGTTTGATATTTGGGCACAGATCTCTGTAAGCGTATTGGGGCAGAAAATGCAAGGAATTAAATGGATTTATGGTTTAGGAGGCGGCATCTGAGGATTGCTACACCTAAGCATATGTTCTCTTGTTCTCTGGTAAAACATACCGTGGCAATTGTGCTGCAAATTCCTGCAATTTGTGTCTGCCTGTCTGTGAGGCTGATGACACTGTCGTTACTGTGTTTGTGCCAATGTTGCTGGTATTGTTTTACAACGACCTTCCCCTTTATTGGTACTGTTGCTGATGATGTGCCATATGTACACATGCACATTAGAGTATAAGAACATCATCCCTAATTGTTCTTGGGTAGCTGTCAATGCCGCTTACGGGGTATGAGTACTAATTGCTTCAGAAATACAAAGAAAAAGATATCTGGTCTTGCTATTATTCCATTTTTTCTAGTCACTAGGAGAATTGCAGTGCTTCCAAACATGTTGGATTTTTTGAAGTGTTTAAATAGATGAGAATTCAATAGATCGAGGCAGCTTATTCAACAAGTCCGTTCAGTTCCTTGTCAGACTGTTTACAGATCTAGTGCAGGCCCAGCCAGGATTCCTGAGTTCTGCCAAAGATTTCCAATGTGAGTTAGGGGAATCACTGAACCTCTTAGAATTGCTTACCCTCCCCGCTACTCCCCGCCCCCACCCCCCAACTGCAGAGGAGAGATGATGTTTTATCTAAGGGTGAAACAGCCCTTCACACCAAGCTAGAAAGAAAGTGTTCCTTCTTTTGGCTAAGTACTCTGGATCTTTCAGCTGAAAGACACTGTTAGTCATTTGACCCACTTTGGTGATTGCTGCTCCCACCAGTTTCTCTATTTTTTTAGGGCTAGGTGACTCCAACACAAGATTAGTATGTGTGTCACTGGTAAAATGGTAGTAAGTGGGTGAAAACTCCTCTTCACATATCTTTCTGTGCTTGTTTTCCCTGCAGGAGGAGGAACACTGATCCTGTCTGTGCAAGCCTGCAGTCTGAAATTCTGAAGTGCTACCAAGAAAACAAACGTGAAGTGCTCAAATGCTCGGAGCTGGCTAAGGAGTATCAGCGCTGTGTTAGTGCAGCTCAGAAGGTAACAAAAGCTTCCCTGTTGTACTTGCTGGCTTTGCCGTCTTGTTTTGCGTGGTGTTTTCTTTTGGGAAGTGTTTCTGAGAGCTGTGGTATCTGTTAGTTAAATTGCAGCGTTCATAGGAAGCAGTTTTTCTTTGGGATCCATTTTCCCACATTCATTCCACGTTTCCCACTCACAGTGTGGTATGTCCCAGCTTCACTCCCATCAGTGGGTCCTGTTGTACTGAGCTGCCACCAAAACAGTAGCACTGATGCTTCTAGGTTTCAAAGTCGGTCACAATAATTTTCCCAAGTTTTGCCTTCTTGCATGCTCTATTTTGCAAACAGTAGGCAAATCCATTTTGCCAACGTTGGCAACATTTTGAACGGGCTCTAAACATCCTCCCATTGTGGGACTTTGCATTTGGAGGTCTTGCTTCCTTTCATTGCTGCATGAGGAAAGCTTCATTACTGGGCAAAGCTGCTGCCTGTTAAGAAAATTGCACGCTCCTAAAAACTGTTGTTCTTGTGCAGGGGGCCAGCAAGCCTTATAGCTCTTCCTTCTGAGATGCAGAACCCTAGTAGATTCTGTTGATGCCTTAGGACAGTGGCTGCTCAGTACCTTGGAAGAATTTCTGGCTATTGAAACAAGTGAAGGAGAAAGGAAAAATGAAGTATTTGGAAGTTACAACTAGGATATGGTCTTGGGAAAAGTGAGTGGTAAGACATGAGCTGCTGCATGGGGTGTCTGGAGCGTAAAGGATGCTGTTGCCCATGTGAGAATTCAGTGGGTCAGGTGTCCCTCAAGGGCAGGCTTTTCTTTTTTTGCGGGGGATAGAAAATTCTCCAAAAGGTGCTGAGACTATAGTAAGGTGGATTTGGGGAAAAGGATGGAGCCTTCTGGGAACAGAAAACTGAGACTCCTCTCATGGGATTAGTAATGCAAAGGGTGGGGGAGAGGTGGAGATTTCATAGAAGCAGTCTTTCTCTGTCGCATTAGCATTGTGAGGGGAAGCTGTATGCCTGATTTAAGTATAACATGAAACAAGCTGCCAGCCGGCTCCCAGAAGAAGCCCGACAGAAGGAGATGGGAAAATTGTCAGGATATATTAGACCAAATGTTGTTGCTAGTCCTAGTGGAATTTTTTTCCTTCCTGTTTACAAAGAAGGTCTTTGTATGTCTGCAAATCAGCAAGGTTAAAGCTGCCAGGGAAAGGGCTTTTCTCTGATATCTTTTAAGTCCCCAGCTCCCAAAACGTGTGGTTTCTTTTTCTTTCTCAGCTTTAAACTAAAGCGCTGCCTGTGCTGCCGCTGCACAATCCATGCCCTCTGTTGCTGTGCACAGAGCACTGGCGCATCTATTGCCAGCCTCCGTTGCACGATGCTTCCTCCTTGCCTCCTGTAAATCAGGCTTGTAGCCTTTTCAGTGGAGTATATCTTTAGCAAATGCATTTACCAATACATCTTTATTGCATGCAGTGCGGGCGGAATGTGATTACCAAAGAAGACAGATTGCATTAAACTTCAGCATATTTGCAAGCTGCGGCTCCAACCCGCCTGAGAAAGGGGCTGGGATGCTGCCAGCCCTAAGCCCCAGCCCGCCATTATTAAAGAGTAAATTGGAAGCTAAATGATTGGTAACAGCAGAGGGCAGTGAAAGATCCTATTAACTTGGATCTTTTTCGGATTTGTGTGGTGGTGAGGTTTTTTGGTGGATTTTCTTTATAAACCAAAAACTGGGGGTTGTCTTGGTTCCCAGAGTGTTCAGTGAACTTCAGAAATTTTTTCCCCACTGCTATAGAAACTTCCTGAAAGGAGCAGTGCATGGGACGCTAATTTGCTGTGGATGATGACAATATGGCAGAAAATCGCCTCCCTGTGTTTTAAGAAGGGACGAGAGAGACTAAGGAATAGGTGACTAAACCTTGCAGCTAGATATTAGTGCTAGAGGGTTCTGCAAGTACAAATTCAAATAAAACTTGTGTAAGGCAGTACATCTTCTATAGTTTCCTTTGTCCCAGAACAGCTCATCCCTGACAATTTGCCTCATTGCTCTTACTGAGTCCTCTGACTCCTGAGATATATGTAGCGATCACAAGCTGTTGTGTTTTTTCATGAAGCATTAAAACTGCCTCCTCCCTTCCCCTTTTAAGCTGTTATTTTTCTTTAAGTTTAAATTAGCATCTTCTACCAAATGGCTTTGTCTCACGCATTCCTCATTCAGGAAATTCAGGTTGGAGGAATGTGGCAAAGAGAGGCCAGAATCTCTTGATTTCTTGGGTGTTTTTTCCTTTTTTTTTTTTTTTTTAAATGTAATTTGTTTTCCAGTACAGGAGGTTGTAATCAAAGCTGGATGTGTGACTTCAGCTCACTTGCATGCTGGTGATTTGTTCTTCTGCTTTTTACTGAAGATTTTATAAGGCTTGGTGAATATTCCTTAATGAAGCATCTGGTTCTCTGCAAGTTTCTTTTGATGGCTGGTAAAAATGTCTCCAGGGCATAGTATACATTAGAGTCAGAGAAAGCAAGCTCTAGATTTCTAGACTGAAAATTACAGCTTACAGTGGATGAGAATAATTCTTTGTATCTTCCCCCTTACTGTGTTGGTTTGAGACTGTTCCTTTGGGCACCCATTTCCCTTTGTCTATTGCTGTGCACATCTCTGAGCCGGGGGCTGAGATGCACCCTCAGCTACTTCTGCCCCATGGACAAATATATCAGGTAATCATTTAATGAGTTTTGAAATTTATTTTCTACTCATTTCCTGTACAAGCCTTCTTACTGGAACAGGTTACTTTATTGTAGCGCATGGTAGGGATATAACTGACATTACCTGTTTTGTATGTTTTCTGGCCATCAGGGCTTCTTTTGTAGTCAAGGGAGAGAAATAGGCACCGCTAGAGCATGGTGCATCTGATCCTAAAACAGGCAACTGAAACAGGTCAGCTGGATTGCCCTCCACAAATGAGTGTTTCTCTGCCACTTGGGAGGCACGTCCAGACCATGAACTCCAAAGCTAATGCCTGTAGTGGGATGGTCATAGAGTTATGGGAGCAGGATCCTGCTCCGATTGTCCGCCTTTGTAACTAGCATGCTTTCAACTTGCCCTGCCTAACCTGCTCACTAACTTGCTGTTTATAGCATCCTGAATGTTAAGTTTTGGTTGTGTTGCCATTAGCTCGCTGCAGTGGCATCAGCCCACTTAGGCTCTGGGTTGCTTGCTGCGTCCTGTGCTTTGCTTATGTGGAAGCTCTCTGACTTTAGAGTACGTTACTGTAATGTCTCCTGTTTAATTTAGGAGTGTTTTATCTTTTCTGGTGGTCTGTTTTCCTGCCTCTGCAGAACTTCAGCCACAGCATAAAAATCGCTAGCTTTAAATCTAATAAAAGCTGGGATAATGGGACAGCTGTGGGAGGGGCAGTTCCCATTGTGTCTTTTAAAATTGCCCGTAGTTTATTGACCGCAAGTTTCACCAAGAGCTACTGCTGCTGTTAGATAATGAGAATTGAACATTGCTGCTGCTGTTTCCCCAAGGTTTTATCTTGTGCCAATGAGAAGAGGGTGTGGAAGGAAAAGGAGAGTGGGCAGTGGAAATGTGCGTAATTTCTTAGTTTGAGTCCATATGGAAGGGAAAAACAAATGATTTTTTTTTTTTAAAGTCTGAGTCCTGGTACTGAATTGCTTTTCTCCCCCTGCAAATATGCACTCATGTGCAAGCTTTTCAGAATATTTTTTGACCCATTCTGCTTCCCTTACATCCTGTTCACACCAGTAGGCAAATCTGAATTTCCATCGAATTTTAGTTGGTTAATTTGTTCGTAATTGGTGGTTATACCAGGGAATCTCTGACCAGCTGCCACTTGAAAAATGTGGCCTCCGGTGATCATATATTAACGTGATTGGAGATTTCAAACAGAACCTGCTTCTTGTGACTGTGTGCAGAAAAATGTCTGTTAGTGAAGAGCATGTATCCCTTTCTTTCCAAGTGTTCTCTTACTGTCTCTAGGTGCCTGTCTTTCACAGAAGGACCAAGGTGAAATTTTTGCGCTCTCGCTCCTGGCCAAACCAAGCTATAAAGAGCTGCATACTCAGACACATGTATTCCCTTGTCAATAGGAGCTGTATACATTGAGCTAGGAGCCATTCATAATTCTGCACTCTTTCTCCCTATTCTGCGTCCAGCTTCTTCTCACAAGTCTGCTATTCATAACAGACAAAGGTAAACCTACTTCTATCAAGGCTTTAGGGCTTGTCTACATAAGGAAATTACAATGCAGTAAACTGGTGAGTGAGTTTATGGTACAGCAACTTCTCTGTATATGAGCATTCTCAGTTTGTAATGGAAGTGCAGGGAAAATTCACACTCGTTTTACTGTGAGTCACTCTGCTATGCAAACAAGCCCTTGCAAAACACTGATTGACCAGATTCCAGTGGAGGTAGACTTTTAACATAACCTTGAGTCAACTGCATTCTTCTTTGCCCTTGACTGTAATAAAAAGGAATGTGGTCAATTTACTTCTCCTACTTTTCCAAGTGATCCATGTGAAAGCCCAGTTCCCGTTTGGCACACACAGCAAAGACTTGCAACTCTGCTGGAAGTTTGTCTCTAATCTGTGGGCAGTGACCTACATTGCTGAGAAGATGCCGCAGGTAGTCATGCAGTGTCCCATCCTGATGGAGCA